TTGGAAAAGCGTCACTGATTTAAAACCTTTGTGTTTATTTATAGCCATCACATAAAATAACAGTGGTGGAGAACTGGAAAGTTGCTGTTCAGTATGGCTAAAGCCGATATACAGATTAATAATGACAACAGAAAAAATAGCTGTGAAATTCACAGGGCAAACGTGAAGGTGTGAGGAATTGACCCCTCAATTGCTGTTATTGTTTCTTAACTATAAAGACAGTCTTTTGTCTACAGGAATTTTATTAGATGAAGAACAGACCACTCTAAAAGGCTTCGAACTTCCCTCTGAGCTGAGTCTTTAAGAAAATATGTTTCTTAGTATTAAAATATTAATTTAAAAAAAGGGCAACTTAAAATTGTCTTTGACCAAAATGTGTTGGTTTAGAGTAATTAATAAGTCTCTCCTATGCACTTTTGATGTGAGATTTATACCTTTTCAAGATGTCTTGAAAAACCATCTGACCATCACAATGGCTCCAACACAATGGTTGGAGTACCATGGAGTTGTGTACACGAGTAAAGGAGATGAGGGAGCTAGAAGTGGTCAGATTCAAGTGGAGAGTTGGTCTAAGGAAGAAAGAAAGAGTGGATGGATGTTCTTGATGTAGCTTCAAGAAATTCCCTTCAAATATAATCGGGGAGACTGACAAAACCCTAATGCTTTCTGTAGCAGTCAGTTTATCATGTGATGTTGTTTAGTATTCACATATCCTGTTCAGTATAGTGTTTAATATTTAGTGTATGACTAGCAAAGCCTTCATTCCTTGGCTGGCAATTTTGCACATGTTTTGGGAAGCTGGGAATCCAGAATCCTTTGAGATTCTAGGAGTTTCATGCCATTTGAAAAATCCCACTTTAACATATCCCTGCGTTGGTTTTTTTTCCCCCAACTGACCCACTCCCTAAGTGCAATGAAATGTTTGGAGAAAAGAGCTTTCTCATCACACTGTAATCCTGTGGGCAAAGAACTCTTGTGGGAGAGAAAGGTACGATGGCTTGTCCTAGTTGTAACCATCTATGGAAGTCAGGGTTGTGCTTTCTGCCCTTATGAAGTATTGCATCTGCAAAATATTTTGCTCTGCGAGTGCTCTGCAAGGCTTCATGGCCTACAGCTAGGGTAGTGCTACCTGTTTAGTGCTGTAGCTGCAAGATCTGTACGCACTAACTTACAATTCCCGTATCTTCAGATCACATGTGTTTCTCGTGTCTTCCTCTTTAAAAAGCCATTTATTAAAGAACTTGTATTCATCTTGATATATGGAAACAATTAGCATGTATCTCTAGTCCAGTTTGGGTGCATGCTAATCACATTTTCAAGGATTGCAGGAGATTTTTGCTTAGAAATAACAGGATTTGTTTCTGAAGCTGTTTAATACAACCCACCTGGTCTGTCAGCATCTGTATTGACAGCTGCCTCTCAGCATTAAGTTTTAAGTGAATCTGTGGTTCTTGCAGAGTATGTAATTAGTCTTTTGAAATAGAACAAAGATTGGCAGTGTCTGAGAGAAAGGAGTGGCCACTAGATTTGATTAATTGGTGTTTATTCAGGTAGGGGGTAATTGTTATTTACAAACTGTATTAAAGACTTTGTCATCTCAGGATGTTTTTTGAAAACACATATGACTTCATTATAAAGTCAAATTAGATTTTACTGACTACTGAATCAGTACTGAAATTACAGATGAGTCTGCTCTTCAAATTTTCAGATCCTAGAAATTTGGCTTATTATAGACCATGAATTTTTGTCTCAGCTTGTTGTTGAGATGGCATTCAGACCTAACTCTGAAAATCCCACAAAAGATTTGTTGTTCATATGTTGGACTTGGATCAAGGCCACCCCTAGTTAAAATGAGCAAAGGCAAGGCAGAGGAGGCAGTGCACGTGGTATGTGAAGTGTCTTGTCCTAGGCTAAGTTATGACCATCTCTACATCTTCCTTGTCTTTTATGATACTAATTTAGACAGTCTACAGTGAGTAACTCTGAAACAATTTATAGCTGGATGTCAGTGGTGTACAGAGAACAGGCATTGTGCGAGCAAAACCTGATGATACTTCATATTTAATCTTTATTAGGAAATGTAGCTGAACCAGTCAGAATTAAATGTTTGACAAACTATTATTTTTGTTAGATCGTTAAACTGGATTGCCCACTTTGTTGATATTTAGAAAGATGGGACACAAATGCTGTTTCCAGATTGTTTATTCTTGTGCCAGATCAATTGCCCATTTATTTTTAAATATTTACGATCATCTTAGTTTTGCCCTGATGTTGGTAATGGTTATGTTTATGTACTCTTACGGTTTTCCAAGTTCTGGACACAGAGACATACTGAAGTCTTTTCAGCTCCCTTCTTGACTGTACAGTAAGTTCTTGGGGTAGCTTATCTTCCAGAGAGCTCTGAAAACCAAGGCTCTATCTCTTTTCCCAGCATATGCTGAATGCAATTAGGCACCAGTTCAGAAAAGGCTTTGTAAACATTCTGAATCCATGCCACATGTTCTGGTCTCGGGAGCTGCCAAATGCCTAAACACTGTATTCAAGCCAGATGTCTAAATATATAAAATGAATGACTGAACAAAGTGCTTCCTTAGTAGAGCATATGCCTATAGGGTGGACAGACCTGAGGGGTCCAAGATCAGCTCCAGAACATGATGTTCTGCCAACCCACATCCCTGGCCACTGGGAGGGAGACCAGAATATGCTCTCTCCTGGATAAGCTCTATGAGGAAGGAACACCCTTGCTCTCATTTCTTGCTTTCTTGGTATGGGATACTAAGCCTCAGAAATCTCTGCTAGCAGTATCATAAGGCAAATTCTGTCACTTCTCAGTGAGTACACCTGCTTCTGGGACACTGAGATACTTGTTCAGCAAAGGATCAAACAGTTAGAGTACATCTGGGTTTTCAGTGAGCAACATCTACTCAGCCATTATGAATGGGCTACCTTGATCTTGTTAGGAAGTTTACATAATACAAAATACACAGAAAAAGAGCTTCTACGTAAAATAATTCAGGTACTTCCCTGACTGTTAAGACTGCCAAAGTGGTTTTCTCTTTTGTTGGCCTTGATCTTGTTAGGAAGTTTACATACTACAAAATACACAGAAAAAGAGCTTCTACATAAAATAATTCAGGTACTTCCCTGACTGATAAGACTGCCAAAGTGGTTTTCTCTTTTGTTGAAAGGAGAAAAAGAGAAAATCAGAAATGAATGCAATACTCAGGATTAACACTGTGGACATTAGCTCAACTATGGCACTGAGCAAAACTGAAACGCACTTGAGCAGGTACAGTAACCTACATTAGAAATGTATTCTAATTTATAAAAGTAGTGTGTGTTGAAATTCTTCATAGAACATTTTCACTAGGCAATCTTAGTCTTTGTAACTCCTCAAAATAAATAAAACTAGTCCTTTCTGAGCTATGTTTAAAGCAAAGCAGAAAATGCATTTATATTCCTAGTCTTCCTAGAACCTGAAACTTCAGAGATCTTAGAAAGTCGATTGGCTGTTTTATGTAGGGCTGCCTAGATTCTGAATAGTGCGTGTGTGCATTGAGAGGGACTGTGCACAATCCTAGAGAAATACCTGCAAGGCATTAAAACTCGAACCCAGATGTTACTGTTTTGGATGCCCTACAAATTATTTTATTAATAATTTTGAGAATAGCTAAATTGATCCAGGACGATTGCGATGAGAGGCTACTGGTAATGTAATAACTCTGTAATAAGGTTAAGTAGTAGTAATAATTCATGGTAAGGTAATAACTCTCTCTTCTCACAACTGTCTGAAAAAAAAACAACAAACCAAACCCAAAACTGTAGAGTCAAAGAAGTCTTCATTAGTTATTCTTCTTTGTAACAATGACAAGCATAGAAATAAAATAATTTCTGTGTATTTACTAAAGGACAGCAGTGGTGTAGGGAGCTCTCACTAGCAGAATGGCTTTTTTTTCTCCTAGGTATGGCAATGTGGAGGAAGTGTTGAGGTTCTACCCTGTTCCAGGATTGCCCACATTGAAAGAGCACATAAACCATACACAGAAGATCTAACTGCTCATGTCCGGAGAAACGCGCTAAGGGTGGCTGAAGTCTGGATGGATGAATTTAAGAGCCATGTCTATATGGCATGGAACATACCCCAGGAGGTGAGTCACAAAGACTGGTGTTTGCAAGCTTTAGCTTTAGATCCTTTTGGGTTTGGTTCCTATTCTGAATTTTGATTTTTCTGCTAGGATTTTGTTTGTATACATGCATGTATGTATTTATGTCTTACATATAGGCATAAGATATGCCTAAACATACACATTTATATATAAAAAATATATGTAGTTGTGTCTTAATTCTAGAATAATTCCTTTGTTTTCAGGTTGTTTAAAATTTAATTTCTTGTCAAGTTAATCATCCTCAATGATGACTCTGCATGGAGATTTTAATCTGGTATTTGCAAAATGTGGAAAAAAACCCATCAAGTCTATACTATGCATCTCATTTTGAATTTGAATCTGTTATTTACCATCACAGAGAGCTACAATTCTGCCAGGTTTAGATTAGACATTAGGAAGAAATTCTTTACTGAGAGGGTGGTGAGACACTGGCCCAGGTTGCCCAGAGAAGCTGTGGCTGCTCCTTCCTGGAAGTGTTCAAGGCCAGGTTGGATGAGGCTTTGAGCAACCTGGTCTGGTGGAAGGTGTCCCTGCTGATGGCAGGGGGGTTGGAACTGGATGATCTTCCAACCCAAACCATTCTGTGATTCTATGATTTGTGAGGGGAGTTCTGCCAAGGGGTGAGGGGTGTTAACATCTATCAGTTCAAGTGTGGTTGTATCACTCTTGAGTAATTTAACATCAGATTAAGGGTGGCTGGCAGATGTCACGACACATTGCAGAATCTGGCCCCTTTTGGCTTGCTGGTCTAGATTTCTTTTCCATAGATGAGCAATTGTTGGTTCACTGTATTGAAAAGATATTGTGGGATGGCTAACCTGAGAGTACCATTTGACATCTGATTTTAGATGTTCTTCATTTCTGTAGTCGATAGTATTTTAATCTATGACCTGTTAAGAACTAGAGGTCTCTGAGAAAGGTGACTATTGTCTTGTACAGGAAAATACTCAGGATCGATGTACAATAGGTTGTTTCCACCTAGAGGTTGGAAATCATGGTTGAATTTGAGGTTTGACTTACAGTGTGCAGTTCTCATCATTACAGCAAAAGCAAATATCCTAGACTTATTTTATAAATGAAGTTAGTCAATTTATTTTTCTTTGATAAAATATCTTTAAAATCTCTCAGTGATTTTACAACTGTTCAGAGAAAGGGATTTTGCTGTGATTTTTGGTTCGACAAAATGCTCTACTTCTCCTTTAGTTTAATAAGGAAAAGAAGTTAGAAACAAATAACCAGCTATATATAAGAATGGTGATGTTGATTCAGCAGCTTTCAATAATTTTTTTCATCTCTCATGGTTAAAACTACATAATTTTGGCAAAGTGGGGAAGTCATTGTTCTATTTTCAGGTTGCAGAATTAGTCACATAATATACCATGAAAGCATCAGGAAAAAAATTCCTCTATGATCTAGTACAGGGAAGGGACCTTTCTGGAAGTGAGTCTTTTGTTCACAGAATCCAAGCTTCCCTTTAGCTGTCCCCATATTGAGTAGTCGCACAGCAGTACCTACAAGAATAAAGACATTTCTGGAAGATAGGGTTACTTCCTTTACATCAAAACAGATGTAAATTAATATTAAAATTAATTTAATATTAATTTTATTTGTGATTAACCTGATGGATTTAAATTTAAGTTACTATTTTTTTATTGTTAGTTATTTTCCTGAAGATTGGTTGATCTTAATTGATTGATCAAGTTGCAATTTTTTTGACTTTCAAACGTGGCATTAACACAAAATTTAAAAATTCATTTGCTAAATGGGATTATACAGTATTATACACATATTTGCATAATATTCATCCAGATATGATGGTGGTGGTGCTGAGTCTTGTACAAAGCTGAGATTTGAGTGCAATTTGGAAATCAAATTTATAAAGAATACAAAGATTACTTGTTAAACCTAGTGTTGACTGTGCAAAAAGATCAGAAAAAAATAAGCCTGTTATAATAAATTTTAAAACTCATTTATTAAACAAAGGAAACATATTTTATTAAACAAAGTTAAAATAAATGCAGTGTGTGGATTTGAACTGATTTCTTTCAGGTCACAAAGTGCATCAAGGTTTTGCATGGTAGATTTTGTACTGCCAAAACTGATTTTGCTCATAGTTTTTAAGAGGAATAACAAGTTTTCTTACTACTTCAATTTCCAGTCATTTTCCCACCACAAATGTACTAATCATTGCACTGAACTGCTTGAATAAATTGCAATGCAGATTATATTGTCTCTTCATCTTCACAAAGGCTACTGCTGTCAAGCCATCCTGCAGACTTAAAAGCTGGAAATAGCGAGCACTAAATCAGCTTTTAATAGTGGTAGCCTCCTCTGCAGTGTAATGAGATGCCTCTGTTGCAGGGAGAAATCTATTACTGTGTGTATGTACAGAACCTGTAACACAAAGAACCTCCATTTCTATTTCTCACCGCTATACAAAACCAAATAAACACACAGATGCCCACATACTTATTTAAAATATACTGGGAAATGGCTTAGTTTTCACAATTGTAACAGGCCTATAAGGCCTGAATCTGCTCATTACCTCGTGATTGCTAGGGGATGATCACAGACAGTGTGGCACCTCTGAGACCATCAGAAGGTTTTCCTGTCAGTTGGGGTCTGTGACTTACAGCAGGGTACATTCAGGTGGTGTTCACCCAGCTTCCATCTTCTGCCATGTGGAAAACGGGGAAGGACTTAGAAGAATGTTGGGACTGTGTTTTGTCCTGACAGCCTGACATGTGCTCAGGTGTCCTAAATCAGTTGTGTACTTTGAAGCTGCTCTAAGCATCTTTGTGTTCATTGTGTGAGGCCTGGTGCCAGGAATCAGGGGGAGAGCTCCGAAGACCTGGGGCTTCCTTTCCTTTTCCCATGCTAAACTTCACGATTACTGAACTGATTCTAGAGCAGTAGGAGACAAGTACGTGTCTGGCCTTTTAAGAGAAAGAGGGAAAATACAGTACAAAATTCCACTCCCAAGCACTGTAATTGAATCAGTCTATGTAAAGAAAACCTACATGATTAGTGGGAGTCCTCTTTTATACATCAAAAGGTTAGGAGCAATGCAGTCTCTGGCTGGTATAGAAACATCAGTAGAAACAGGGAGCATTCAGTGTAAAGAAGCAACCTAAAAAAATAACTTAAAGCTCGTAGGACGCTTGTAATACCGACTTCTGGTTGGTAGGGGCAAAGGGATGGTGGATGAGAAAGGCTGGGGATGGATGAGGTCAAATTTAGGTATCAGACAGGATGGCAATGTTTCTGTTTCATCTTTGCTTACCTCAAGATTAAATTAAAGGTGAAATACCAAAGAGGGACAATTTTCAAATCAAACTTAGCTTCAGCTTAGGCAAAAAGATGTCGAGACATCATTGTAAGAGACATGCAGAGAGAACAGACAGATTGCATGGCCAAGTACTGTTACACAAGTGGATCACTACAGGAGTAATTCTCTATCTGGAAGCTGATGAAATAGTGCCCTGGTAATGGACTGTGGAGGTAATAGAAATTTATTCAGTTATAACAGTCAGGTCTTCCCATGAAATATGTTATTCCAAAATGTTAACCACAGGACCTGTTTTTTCCATGGAAGCATTCCCAGATCTCTGAGAAGCCCCGTAGTCAGATGTTTCCAATGCTTTTAGTCTTTGAGAGCTAATAATAATAAAAATGAGTTGGACTCACTGGCACTGTGTTGTGACTGCCCTCTTGGGATCTCTGTGGGTGGCTCTGAAGTACTCTGAGGGCTTCAAATTGGGATCTCTGATACCACGGGGATTTCTGCATTGTAACTACGGAGATAAATAGATTCAGAGAAGCACTTAAAACCCAAAGGCAAGATTTTTCAAGTCCCAGAAGCAAAAGCTGTGTTCTCCATGTGTCCTCCCCTATTTTATTTTTTTTGTTTCTTTATTTGGTTTGGGGTTTTTTCCCTCCCCTCCCATCATAGTCTCAGCTTTGGGGAACACACTGAGTTGTTGCTGGTGATAAAGCCAGTGTGCTATATGTGAGCTATTTTCCTTCTCCAGCTGCATGGGAGGATGTGATTACTGAGCCCCCAGATGCTCTTTTGTACCTTACACAATAAACTGGGAGGAAACAAGTGTTGGTGCCTGCAGGATCGCATGAGAAAGGAGTTGGGATGCACTGGACCAATTCAGTACCTGATCCCAGGAAGCCTTGTTAGTGCTGGAAGCCCAATACCTGAGTGCTGGCATCCTCTTTCCTTCACACAAGTGGCAAATACACTGGCATGTGCAAGTGCAGCCAGAGCGGTGTGTGAGCGGGATTTCTCCATGGGATCAGCTGGTTGTCTTACAGCACCCTACAGCACGTGCCTCTGTCTAAGCACTTGCTAGAAAGGTCAGGAAAAAACAATCGCTGAAGTAGTTCCACATAAAGTTTTATAAAGAATGTAGGGCTTGAGGGGAGGAGGATCATCATTTTTAGGGATTGACTTGAGTTATGCCTGTTTATGCCAGACCTCAGTTTCCTATTTTTTAGTATACTTTCCTAATGTGGAAGTCAGTTTTACTTCAGTTAGAAAATGCTTCCATAATAAAATATACTTGTTCCAGATTAACATCAATACAGTGCTTTGGGATGTAAGAAGCAATTGTTGCTTCAGCAGCTCAGTAACCTTGATATTTATAAAGATACCTTTTTGATGTGTAACTAGGAAAATTAAATGCTTCCAATGTTATTTTTAAACCATATCTGGTGACTGACAAAATCTCTGGGACATTTATGGCCCCATAAAGGCTGTTGTTTAAGTAGATAGATTATAGAATTTCCCTCTGAAAATTTATTTATCCTGTGTTTTCTTCTGAGGCAGAAGCGGTAGAGCCCAGTGTGGAGCAAAATGTCTCATTTTACTTCCTGTCAAATAGCAGCCATGGATTTGCACTCAGATCCCTCTCTAAAAATTTCCGCTGCATGATTTTAATGTGATAAATTATTGATTTTTTTTTTTTTTTTGTACAAGGACTTTATGAAACTTATGCTTTATGATCTGCTCTTATCATAAGTAGAATTAGGTTATCCAGAAATATAAAGGAGAATAAAAATTAGGGGAAATAATATTCTGCAATTGGTTTTAACAAAAATAGCAAATTCTCTTTTTACAATATAAGAGAAATTGAATAAGTGATATTTCAGAAAGGTGAGCAGAGCTTCTGCTCTTTGCAGTGAAGCGGCACACCCAGACTTCAGAAAGTGTCACATACTAATGATGAGGCCACAGTGGGATGCCAGCAATAAGGTTGTTTCTAGGGCAACTTGCTACTTCATGCCAATTACTTCTGGATTTAGAAAGTGCCAGGAAATTCTCCCAACAGTGATCCTCATTGGAAGCTAGATCTGAAGCCCACTGAAGGCAACAGGAGTGTTTCCATTGACCGAAGCAGACTTTGAAAGAGACCCTGCCATGGTGACCTGTATCATATTTAATTGGGGCACTTACAGAGTGTGTGAGGGTAACAGACTCACTCCACAACCCAGAGCTGATAATTAGCATAGGTCATAATGATCTTTGCGATGAGGGAGACTCTGGATGATTAGTTTACAGACAAGTGTATCACTGATGTCTTTTCTGCTTTTTCTGTCCTTTGTGTGATGTCCAGGACTCTGGAATAGATATTGGTGATATTTCTGAGAGGAAGGCCTTGAGGAAAAAGCTCCAGTGCAAGACCTTTCGGTGGTATCTTGTCAGCGTGTATCCAGAAATGAGAATGTATTCAGATACTGTCGCCTATGGGGTGGTAAGGATCTTCTTTACGTTTCCTATTTTTAAAAGGTGGGAGAGAAAAGGTGTAATAGTGGAAGTAATTAATGAAGACAATGCTTGTTTCCGAGTAGAAGAAACAGATAAACTGGAAGTCACTGGTTAAAATATTTCTCAGACTGGTTTGTTGACAGGGACGCTGCTCTGCTGTAGCTCATGGTGAGGTATGCTGCACGTTATCGTCTTCCCTGATTTTCTGTTTGTTTCATAGCTTGCATTCCACTCAGAGATCTCAAGGCATGGCTTTTTTAGACACGTTGGAGCTGTCAGTTGGAAGGTTTGTGGCAACAGGTGAATTAACCAAACAGGCTCAGTATTTCAACTGCAAGCTTCTTAATATTGTTTCTGCTTTTCAGCATGGGGATTGGCAACGCTGTTATATTTTGGGTTGTAATTAAGTCTTGGTAGTCTAAAACTGCATTACCCAAGTTAATTGCTGGTTGCCCCAAAGCTACTAGATTTTGGAAAGGGAGGGTTCCTAAGAGTCTGGGCCTCAGATCTTGAAATAGCATTGTTAGTTAACAGGCCAGTGGCTTTTTTGTTTTTCTGTTTTCTGTAGGGATTTCTCTACAGATATTGTAAGTTAATTGTGGAGTTGATTGGGATAGGAGTTTGAGAAATAAAATCTGAAGAGCTAATTTTATTTTTTTGTTTTCAAGGTTCATAAGAAGAGGACCGGTGTTGAATATAGTGTTTTGTCTCTTTTTCTGTAGTGCCTGATCACTGGACAGCTGCTGTTAGGTTTAAGGTCATGTTTCTTCTTAGGGCTTGAGACTCTAAAGTCTCCGTGTCTGTTTTATTGCTGGGTCAGCTCTCTCAGATAAGTTGCATGCTGATGTTGCTCCAGGCAGATTTTTTTAATTTTTTTTTTACTTCCTTTATTATCAGGCTTGTTGTGGAAAAGGTTCTAATATTAGGACTAGGACAAACACTAGAATTTGAGTTTGTGGAAGAGGTTTTGAAAAGCCAAAAGTAGGGATGGATTCAGGCATAAATTAGTAAGGCTGATATTTATCATTGGTTTGGATAGAGAGTGGTGACTAATGTTTGTTTACAACTATAGTCATGGTTGTGGTTATGTTTATTGCTAATAAATCCAAAGCTTTGAGAGAAGAAACTTTCCTTCTCAAGGCTTGCAGCTAAGAATAAGGCCAGTATTGATAGCTAATGTGTATTTTCCTGTCTATTACTGAATTTAGATTTAGGTTTGGAGTTAGAAATCTTGCAGAGATGAGTTAATAATGATTTTTATTTTATTAATTGCCTGGCTTCAGTCTCTGGCTTGTCCACACTTCTTACATACTAGTGCACTTCTAGACTTCCTTTCTAAGCATGCCAACTTGTTTTCCTCAAAGGAGGCCCCTGTACACCGCTGACAGGACTGCTCGGTTAGTCCCAGATGGTTGCAAACCGCATCACCTCTTCACTGCCTCCGTCAGACAATTCTCTTACACCACTGAACACCTTTGTACCTGCCTGTGGGTATGCAGTCCACACCTTTGACCTCACACTCTAAAAAGACCTTCCAACTATCTGTGCTCATTAATTTAGCACTTAATTCTGTCTCAGCATTGCACAGGTAATATATAGGGCTTTGTGCTGAACAGTGCTGAGTGCTTTGCAGCCTGTTCACAGCTAGATTGCTATGCATGGGTTAGCCCAGAATAATGCAAAGAGCAAGCGCATACCAACTGGCCAGAAGTGTCTTAAGTGTCAGCAGAAAGAATTTTTTCGAATTATTTCCAGAAATCAGAAGACTCTCCTAAGTGATTCTGAAAAGCTGTTTGATTACAGGGCTTTCTCCTATGTTTGCAACTCAGCTAGCTGCACTGGTAAAAAAAAAAAAAATGTCTTTTGTATATAGTTTGTACCAGAGACTCATCAGACTTAATGTTTTAAAAACATATAAAAATTTATTGCTATGTCTGAAGGCTTTTTGAAATCTACCCTCCCTGAAACCTTGTGCAGTGTTATTGAAATCAGTAGTGTTAGACTATCTACATGGAAGAATTTAGTCCAGGTGCTTTCTCTTCAGTATCTTCACTGCAACAAGTATTTTTAATTTTGCTTATTTCCTTGCTCAACTACGTATGATTTTTTTGCAAAGAAAAGCAAATAATCACACCATCTTTTTCTCATGTAAGACTTGCTTGATTTCTTTTTTTTTTCCTGTTTATTTTAGCTACAGAATTCCCTGAAAAGTGATTTGTGCCTTGATCAAGGGCCAGACACGGAGAATATCCCAATCATGTATATCTGCCATGGAATGACACCACAGGTTAGTTTGTCTAATGATCTCTCATATTGCCACTGCTCTTAGTAGACTGTGTAGGAGGAACCATCATGAACCTGTCATCGTTTTCCTGCAACAATACCTCCGTAAGCTGCTTAGTAGCTCTTTTATAGAAAGCTAGAACATTATTTCTGCCATAAATTGAGAATCACTGGTGTATTAGCACTTTGACAATGAAGTTTGCTTATTCATTTTGAAAGAGTTCAAGGAATATGAGAGTCAGCACTAACCCAGATTTGTTGATAAAAGCTTTCATTTCTGATCTTGTAACTGTGCATGTCATATGAATGAAACAAGGTATTTTAAAACATTTTGCATGCATACATACATATGTATGCTCACAGTTTAGTTATACATTATCTGAAGCAACATCTTTTTTACTTTTTTACTTACATTTACTGCCTCGTTTTCACAAATCTGAAATATACAGCCAGCTTCTTTGCACTATGCAGCTGTGTCAAATTCCAATCCCTGTTCTTGTGAAAGCCCTTCTTCTAAAGCTTCTTTTTTTCTTCCTCTGCTCTTCTGTTACTTTAGTATGTGCCGAAGACCCAAACTACCAAAACCTTTCAATTTTCTTACACAACAGCTGGATTTATTAACTTGGCCAACAAGAGAGTTAAGACATTGTATCTCCACAAGTGGCCAAGTACATGGGCAGAGATGAAAGTGTTTCTAAGCAAATCTTGACAATAAAAATAATGTTACGTGGTCCAGAATGCTTGTCAAAGACAGATGTGCAGATTATCTAACTCTGAAAAGTAACATAAGCAAAAGTGACATAAAGGAAATGGATGCATTTGTGGGAGTGACTGGAGAAACCGAAAAATCCCTCCAATTTTTTCTCCAACTACCTTTTATAGTTCCTTTCTCAAAAGGACCTTATTATGCTCCACTTAAGGTATGGAATGTAGTGTTACCCATGGTATTGTCAGTTATGTGATCTGACTATACAGCAAATGGATCCTGATATCTCAGAAATAAATGCAGAACAAGAAGATAGTCTTGTTCTCTGTACCTGGAACTGATAGCGAGCTGGAAACATGGGTTTGGTGAAATGCAGATGTGATTCTGTACTTCCTTGCCAAGTTACACATGCTGCAGCTGTGTTCTGTGCTGCCTTCCTTCGCTGAAGGCCTTTAATATTGATCGCTAGTGGCATCATGCTTGAGCAAATTATGAATTATGAAGACAAAAATATCTAAAAATCCCATCCATCAGACTCGCTCACTGCATGGGCTGTGGCTTATTTGTCACATAATTATGTGGTAACCACTGTTTGCCTCCAGGAGGTTTTTAAGCTAGTCCTCAGTGTTCGCTAAGGAACTGTGTAATTCACCCGTGAGCCAGAGCCATTATTCCTCATCATCTGGGAGGGCACCATAACTCTCCTCTGGCATATCATCTGTGATAACAACACACTGCAGGCACCGCTGTAAATTCCAATTAGAAATTTTAATTATAGTTAAGAGACAAACAACAACAAAAGTCACTTCAATTAGCACAGTTCAGTATTCACCAGATCAAGAACTACCTTTGAATGTCAGCTGAAGTTCTGTATAAATGAGATAGCAGCAAATAAATGACAGCAGGAAAAGAGGCAAGGGAAACTTTTTTTGACAAGATTCTACTTCTTACGTAATTACAATGTTGTTTCTCTGTTCCATTACTATGTATTTAATTTTATAACTAGTGAGGTTAAAAACAACCCCCAAAAAGGCCCATAAGAGGAGGAGACTTTCTCTGTGTTGGGGATTATGGTATTAACAGGGAAAACACTAACAAACATTATTCAGTGGACGTCTATGAGATTTCCATTACATGTATTGTGCTTAAGCAGAACTGCAGCATTTTACAGTTCCTCTAGCATATTGGAAATATTTGAATAAATATTCCTTTTAAAATTGAACTTGCCAGTAACCACAAAAGATATTGGTGAGATGCTAGTTTTATTCTAGTAGTGGTGAAATGCTGTATAAAGGGGGTTGTTTTGCCCACCTGGCAGTTGTTGTCAAAATAGATTAGTCAAAAAGATAGTCCCCTGGTTCAGGACTGCTTGTATGACTGAGGGTTTTGGTGCTCTGGTGCAGTTTCACTGTTGCAGCCATACCATTTACAGTTTTAGAGCTGCCACTATGGTGGGCTTTGCAGAATTGCATCTAGATGTGCATACATCTGGCTGCCAGAAACCATTCCCTCATACGCAGTTTAAGTTGCTGTTCTCAGTTACTGCTATAGGCTCTCTTCTAAATTGGGTAACTTCCTGCCCTCCCCCACCCCCCCACTCTTTCAGATGTGTCTGGATTTTCATCTTTTTGCATGGGAAATGGCTTAGATAAGGTGTTTGAGATCAAGTAATAGTTTCAGAATTGTATGTATGACTACTGGTTCCTTTTAGCATGTTTTATAGAAGAAAGAAATCATTGAAGTCAGCAGAAAGGGAACTGCATACCTGACATTAAACATCTACACTCAAAATCTATTTTTTTTTCAGACAATATCAAGAACATCATGTGTAGCTTCTTAAAAGCAGTAGAAAATGGCAAGGAAATATCCTCAAATATTGCAGTGAAATGATCAGAAATAATTTTCCCTGCAATACTTCAGTTTTTTAAATAGACATCAGAATTGGTGATGGCTTCTGTGATTCAGATTCCCCAACCTTTCAGCAATCCATTCCCTATTAGCATATTCATAGATCATTCCTGCAAGTATCTTAGAGCACTGTGTACACAAAATAACAGTTTACTTTGTAGTACTGTTCTACAAATGGAGAAACTGATGCAAATCTTACATGTGATTAAATAGTAGGAATGGAAAATCGCAACATAATCTGTTTCCTTAGTCCTCTGATACCACTAACGAGAAAGAATTTCTCACAGCAGGGTATTTGGCTTGGCCTGAAAAGACGAAGGGCACTTGAAAAACAAGAATGTGCAAGTAGGTATGTTTTGTACCCTCTTTCTGTCCAGGGAGTGCTTCCTGGGGTACTTGGAAGGTCCCCAGGAGCCTGGACACTTCAGGAGTTAGGATACCATCCACTGAGTAGAGCAACTTGGATGTTCCACCAGTGGGAAAAAAACCAAAATGGGTGGTGATCCTGCAATGCATTCTCATGAATTTAAGGGAAGAATTGCTATTACTTTATCTTTAGTAAGAACAATTTCGTTACAGAATGTTGCCCAGATAATTGCAGATTCTGTTGAGAACTTCTTTGTCTTTCTCAGTGGTAGCATCGGAACAGCATAGCTTTCAGAGTTGCTCACCCCCCCCTGCTTCTGCTGCTGGAGTGTATTGGTTAAGCGTCACATCCTTCCATTTCTGCCTTTAGTCGCTATCTGTCCAAAATTAACACTGTAGTTCCTACTCCCACCTGCACAGCAACATACAGTACATTGGCATCACTCCCCAGACTCATCAGCAAGAACATCACTGTCACACCTGAGCATCTGCTGTTACTTCTGGTAGCCGCCACAGGTACCAGGCAGCTGTTAGACGTGCACAAAGCAAGGCCATACGGTGATTTTGGTACCTTTGGTGTGCTGATGGTCAGCTGTTTGGAAGGGGCTTTTAGTGTATGTCTTAGCCTGTCACAGCAGCTTCTTCTGCTGTGCAGTGCTGCTGCTTCTTAGAATGACTATTGAAATAGCTAAGGTAGTAAATGCAACGAGGTACATAGTTAACAACAGTAGTTAAAATAGGTTCCTACTACACTGTTCAGTGGTGATAGAAATCATGTTTAATTGCACGAGAACAGCTCAGAGGCAAAGCACAGCAGCCCACAGCTCTTAGCCAAAGAGACTACACTGGAGACAGCTGGGGGGTGTGAGGAAGCAGCCCCTTCAGTGGGATGATAGAGGGAAACAGGAAAATTGGGAGATGAGGTGGAATGGCAGTGAGGGAGAAAGTGAGAGGAGAGAAATGTAAAGGAAAGGGAAGACAGAAAAATAGTAGGGGCAAAACGGTACAAAACATAAAGTTAATGTCAGGTTGAGGGGCTTTTGCTGTTTTTTTTTCAAATTGGTTCATGCAGAAAAGGATAAAAGTACTGTTTTAATTCTTGAACTTGTTGAAGCAAAGCTGCAATTCAGTCATACGTTTAGGCCTTAAAAGGTCCATTTCCAGTAGTGCCCCCATTTTGCATGGAAAAGATGGTTTGTAGTTGCAATACGTACACACCCCAGGCCTGAACCGCCTGAGCCTGGACGTTTGGTGTTTAAGGCTTGTGTTTAACCAGGCCTGTAATCTTGGAGGCAGACTGATGATAGCATGTCACTTGGATTAGAACTGCTCCTGAGTGATAATGTGGAAGATTCTTTGCTGAGAATGAAACACCACATTATTAGAGACTTCATAACTACTGTATAATAAACAAGTACCATCAGTCAAGGAAGTGACACTTTAAGTATGAATTTACCTTGAAAAACTGCTTGTGGCCGAGGGGATAATGGGCAGTTCTGTGTTGCCTTGTTCAGTAGCTTCTGCCTTATACATTTCTCAATTTATAAGCAGTTAAACAACAAAGCTCATCCAGGGATATGAAATTCAATGCAAACCAGTTAGATTTTGAGGAATTCAAGTTGAGGGCCAGCGTCAGAAGACGAGATTGGGAGAATTGCTAGAAGAGAAATGCAAGTGAGAAGGGAGACCCCTTCATATCCTTCCATATTCTTGCAAGTGATTGCAGAACCAATGACTACAGCCCTACCTGGTATGAATTACTGCATCTCAGACTTTGTGAATATCATTCTCTGTTCATAGGGTAAAAGACACTGGAATTGAAAAGAATAAGCACAAGAGGTCCTTCTTCAGATTTCAGACCTAGGATAGGCCTTTTGTGTGTTCCACATCACTGATTAAAAACAAAGGCAAAGAAAAAATAGTTGTAGAAATGCATTATTCTGGATCAGAGGAAATATCTTCTACATCCCTCAGTTTGGAAATAATGAAATGGATATTGCTGCTTATTTATTTTTGTGTTTAAA